CATTTATTTTTTTCTCCTCTTAAAACCTCGAGTTTACTGCATTGAGTTGAGATATTCCGCACACTCCGACCCATCCAGTGTCGGCGGGGCTACGCTAAAAACTCTTTGGCCGCCGCCTTATATTCTCTCACGGCGCAACGAGCCGCGGCGGCGGCGACGGCGGCAGGGCCTAACGAGATGAGGTCTGGTCCACACCGCCACGCGTTGACAAGTGGCTGATTGACAGGCTGTCAATGACACACACACACACACGGCCAAGGAGCAGAAGCACACACACGCACACACATTGGCTGTCGATGACATCAGCCAGGGACTTCGGAAACTCACTGAAGGTTGCCGCCGTCACCGTCCTCGTCCAGTGCACCGCTGGCCGGCGGCGCGACAGTCTCAACGGCGACGGGGGCCATCCAGATCCCTCCCTCCCCATCGTCGTCCTCGGCGACGTCGACGGTCGTCCAGGTCACTCCACCGTCCTCGGCGACGACGGCGGCCGCCATCTCAATAACGGGTAACGACGCGACAGTGCGGACGGCCCGGCAACGACAGCGCCTCTGGCGCCAGCGCGCGAGGCATGTTGACAACTATTCCATCGACCGCGGCTGCACGTCCGCGATAAACGTTGTCGTCGAGGTTCGCCCTCCAGGGCGTCCACCAGACTTCGCGGCCGCCGCCGTAATAGGGCGCCGCCCCCCACCGCGGCCATCACACCGCCTCGGGTGCCAACGACACTGTGGCGCCGTGCTACCTTGCGCCCCGCGTCTCGTCGCGGTACTCGCGCGCCCAAACCGCTGACTGTGCCGTCTGCTCGGGCCGGACGCTGCCGCCGACGTGCCGGCGAAAACGCAGGTATAGACCACAACAACAGACGCGCAAGCTTTAAATGTTTCCTACCCCCAAGAGGTCGAACGTCCAGTTGGAAATATTCATTCAGAGAGTAGACAATATCGGTCAATTATTTCAGCGTGAGATAGGAAGGAACCAGAGATCAGAGATGGGCACAGGAAGCGTAAGGTGAGGGTCAGGTCTCGGGTATACAGGGCGCCCCCGCGCCGGGCGCACCTGTTCCACTCCACTCCCATTTCCAATCAAAGCTGCCGTGTCCGGGCGGGGTGTGGTGGTGT